CTCCTCAAGAAACAAGGACACAGAGAGCCAGCTCAGCCAGCCTCCACCTAGCGCCCCAATCAGCACTCCCTTCTTCCCATGACCCCTACCCTCTGCCTGCCTCCTGGAACTGGCCAAGGAGCTAATTGATACCCACCAGGGTCTTAATGAGTGAGCCAGGGTTAAGGGGTTACTGGACCCGGTCACACATTGACCAGTTTCCCAGGGCTCTCAAAGTCCAGACTGGCCTGGCCTTGAAGGTCTTAGTTCAGCAACCTCCTTTTCCAGCCTTGACACCTCAGGGCTCAGAAAGGGCCTAGGGTGGTCAAGAGGTCTGCTGAAGCCCTCACTTCCTGGAAAGGCTCCAATTCCTGGCCTTCAGGGTCAGGTGGTTCCTTCTTCCTGGCAGGTCCTCCCCAAATCCAATCCCAGCTCAGGCTGGATTCCCTATTCTGGTGTCTGCCCCTCCCCTAGGGCTCTTCCCCCTGGGGTGACCATACTATCTCATGCCCAGCCAGGTCAGGGCTCCTTGAGAGAAGAATCTGGAGGGGCCAGGATTTGATGGGAGAATGCATGATGGAATGAAAGAAGGAATTTAAGCGTGCGCCTTGCTAAGACAATTCTGGCAGGCTGCTGACCATGTGTGGACCTCGATCTGAGGGCTTAGAGGCTTAGGCCTGCCAGCCCTGTGGGGGCACCCACCCCATCTCATTGAATGGGGCAGAGCAGGTGAGGGTGTGATGGATGGATGGGCCACATCCCCCTGCTTCCACTGCCTGGGGTCCTCCATCAGCCTGTCTGCTCAGAACCCTGAAATTGGGGGTTGAGGAAGGACCTTCCTGGATCATGTGACTCCCTTCAGTCCAGGTGACCGGGATGCTTGGAGTGACAGTTCCTAGAGTCCTGCCTGTAGCCCTGCAAGTTGGGGAGAGGGCCTGTTAGGAGAGGCATCCCTGCCCCTGGGGTCATAGAGGTGATCTAGGCTCCTCAGACCTTGTGGGGCCTCAGATGCTTACATCTCCAGCCCCTCCTGGTGTGGGCATCTGGCTGCACCCCAGCTCTGTGGCCTCATCTCCCAGGGAACCTTTGGTCTAATCTGCCTCCCGCTGAAACCTGGCCACATTCAGCTCCACCAAGGCCTTCAGAGCTCAGGTCTCTCATTCAGGGTTTGAGACCCCACCGGACTCAGACCTGCAGCCATCCCAGATCACACAGTCCCAGGGATGGGACCAGGAGCCAGCCTGTGTCCCACCTGCAGCAGTTCCTGTGCCTTTAAAGCCTCCCTCGCACTGCACTGCCTACCCCCAGGCTGCCGGGGGAGGCGGGGAGGAGAGGAGCTGGGTCACAGCGGGGAATCTTAGCTTGGTTTTGGTGTGCTGCTGGATGACGAGATCCGGAGTCCGGTGAGCCAGTGAGTGAGGGCAGCTGGCTGTGCCCCAGTGCTGTGTGACCCAGAGGAGCCACTCACCCTCTCTGAGCTGCTGGACATCATAGGTGGGGAAGCTCAGGCCAGGGGACTCCCAGGAGTCTCTGGAGGCCTGAGTTCCATTCTCAGTTCTGCCATATGCTTGCTACACTCTAGAGAAGTTCCTCTTCCTCTCGGAGCCTCAGTTTATGCACCTGTGCAGTGGGAGTGAGTTGCACTTCAGGGTGAAGGGGGCGAGACTCATGTGGGTGCATCCTGCAGAGGGATCCTACAGGTGGGGAGAGCCCTGGGTTCTTTATCCAACTGCATCTGAGCTGGGGGGGTCCTCTGTTTCTTGGCTGATAAGTGGGTTTGAGAGAGGTATGCTGGTGGCTGGAGGGCTGGGGCAGAGTTACCTGACTTATTCAAAGAAGCTCTTGAGAGAGCCGTGGCTTCTTGGAATTAAGAGGGAAGAGTGGGCCGGGTGCAGTGGTCATGCGTGTAATCTCAGCACTTTGGGAGGCCAAGGTGGGTGAATCATGAGGTCAAGAGATCAAGACCATCCTGGCCAACATGGTGAAACCTCCTCTCTACTAAAAACACAAAAATTAGCTGGGCATGGTGGTACACGCCTGTAGTCTCAGCTACTTGGGAGGCTGAGGCAGGAGAATCACCTGAACCAGGAGGTAGAGATTGCAGTGAGCCAAGATCGCACCACTACACTCCAGCCTGGGCGACTCAAAAAAAAAAAAAAAAAAAAAGAGAGAGAGAGAAGAGAAAAGTGCAGCATGAAGAAACAGTCCTGGGAGGATCTGGCAGCCTTGAGTGTGGATGGGGGGTCAGCTCTGGAGTACAGCCAGAGCTGTGATGGGGTTGGGGGACCCTGTGTCCTTGGGCCATGCTTGTCCCACTCCTGGGCTCTGTGTGTGGCTGTGGATTGGGGTAGGGCAGGGCCAGTTGTACGAGGGGTCATTGCCCAACTGCAGGTGGCGCCTGCCACCTCACAGCTCTATATATAGGGATATATATAGTTCTTTCGACAGGTTTCCAGCAGGTCGTAGTTATTAAATCTTACTGAAAGGGTGTTTTTTTCTAATTCTCAACTCTGTACTGCAAGGGTAGACAGTGTGGGAGATGGATTCCAACTCCAGGTCTGGATGGTGAGCATCCGGTCCAGGGGTGTAGACAGGCCTGGGGAAGCCCCAGAGATCTGTGCGTTCTCATACCCAGAGATAGTGACTCCATGCTGGGGGCTGGCAGGGTAAGGGGTGGGTGGGTCCTGGGCTCACCCTCACCTGAGACCTCCTGGGGCCAGCTGACCTCGGTAAATCCCTTTTGTGTAAGCTTCAGTTTCCTGCCTGTGAATGGGGTTGAGGCTGTGCTCCAGTTTCAGCCTTGTGGCCCTGGGGTTGTGGTGAAAAAGCCATCAAGCTGGGTTGAAGGATTAACAGGGAAACTTCAGACTGGCTGCCATGTCTACCTCTTCCTCATACTCCTCTCTCTGCTGCATCCTGGGAAGCTGCTCAGCTCAGCCTAGATTAGGCTCAGTTGTGTCTGTGTGTGCATGTGATTGCACGTGTGTTGGAAGTGTGTGGTACTGACACCAGAGTCAGTGTCTCTGGGTGAGTGAGGCTTGCACATTTCTGGGGACGGGAAACTCACTACCTTATATGCCCAGGGCAGGAGCTGTGGGGTCTGGAGAAGACTTCTAGGCCAGCCCCTGCAGTCTTTCCTTGGGTGACATGGCTTCTCCAGACTCACTTCCCCCTAGGTGCCCTCTCTGCATTCAGTGGGTAGAGGGCTGACTGGGACAGAATGTGACACACTTAGCATGCCAGGAAAAGCCTCCTTCATTCTGTAGGCCCTATCTCTGTTGACATGGCCTTTGATAAAGTGTCTCCCCTCCTCTCTCCCCTCTCTGGAACCCGCAGCTGCTGTCAGGCTTCTTCTGTGCCCCGTCTCAGGCAGCTCTCTGTCTCCCTACTTTCCCCAGCCCAGGGTTTTCCTTTTGGGGTGAGTTACAGGGGTCTGGCCCATCCTTTGCCCACTCAGACATTCTTCCTGCCCACCTGCTGCTGAGAATCCTGCATGTCTCATATGCTCTCAGGCAGAGAGAAAACTGCTGAGCAGGCCAGGGCAGGGGACGGAGCCCTGTGACTCTCCACTTTAGACCCCTCCCAGCTGACTGCTGTGGAATGCAGCCACTTAGCAGGGCCAAATCCCCTGAGGTTCCTGTCTGCTGTCTAGCCTTCAGGGACAGGTCATGGGGCCTTGGTTCCTGCCCCGTCATCTTCCCAGTCACCCTGATCTTCAGGGGGAGGAACAGCCAGGGAAAGGGCTTGGTCATAGCACCTCCACCCTAGGGCTATTGAGGATCTCACAGTTATGTGTCTGGTTCTGTCCAGAGCCCATTTGAGAGCAGTGGGTGACAGGACAGGCCTATGTGACCCAGGCAGGCAGCAATATTGGGCCAGCCTTCATGTCCCCTTCTGTCAGCTGGGGCAGCCTGGAAGGATGATTGTGGAGTAGGTGTTTGGTTTTGTTTTGTTTTGAGATGGAGTCTCGCTCTGTTGCACAGGCTGGAGTGCAGTGGCACAATCTTGGCTCCTTGCAACCTCTGCCCCCTGGGTTCAAGCGATTCTCCTGCCTCAGCCTCCCCAGTAGCTGGGATTACAGGCACCCGCCATCATTCCCAGATAACTTTTGTATTTTTATAGAGATGGGATTTCACCATGTTGGTCAGGCTGGTCTCGAACTCCTGACTTCAGGTGATCCGCCTGCCTTGGCCTCCCAAAGTGCTGGGATTACAGGTGTGAGCCACCGTGCCTGGCTGCAGCTCTATTTTGACAATTTTCACAGCCTCTTCCCACTTCTGGAGGTTGCCAGCCTTCCTTGGCTTGTGGCTGCCTCACTCCAGTCTCTGTCTCCATGGTCATTCTGGTTTCTCCTCTGCTCTGTGTCCTCTCCTCTATGTGTCTGTCTTACAAGGACACTGTGATCACATTTAGGACACATCTAGATTAATCCAGGATCATCTCCTCCTCTCAAAATCTTTAATGTACTTTAGGCTGGGTGTGGTGGCTCATGCCTGTAATCCCAGCATTTTGGGAGGCTAAGGCGGGTGGATTACTTGAGGTCAGAAGTTGGAGACCAGCCCGGCCAACATGGTGAAACCCCATCTCTACTAAAAATACAAAAATTAGCTGGGCATGGTGGCATATGCCTGTAGACCTAGCTACTCTGGAGACTGAGGCAGGAGAATCACTTGAACCTGGGAGGTGGAGATTGCAGTGAGCCAAGATCGTGCCACACACTCCAGCCTGGG